TTCCAAAGTCCAATGAAGATTTAGGACAAAAATTACAAAACATATCATTAGTATTGTTTAAAAATAACTATCCACCAACCTTCTTTCATTTTCTCCAATGCAGCAAAAAGAGGTTTTCTCTTTGTCTTTTGCAACCACTATTGAAAAAAAATAATATCAAAAGTTATATCTAAACAAAAAATAGAAGAGTAGCAAAAGAAAAGATTCAGAAAAACCTTTATCATTTGATTCCTGAGAGAATCAAAAAACAAAAGGTAAGTCTACCACAATTTCAAAATTCACATAATTTTTTTTTTATATTAACATTAACTCCCATATTACTTTTAAATGAGGTACGGGAATTTCCAAAACTCATTTTAAAATTAATTCTTAATCGAAGCAAATTATTTAAAACATTCTTATTAAATAATAATGATACAAACAAAACTGAAAATATGTAAACAAACATAACGAGTTACTTACATTACTAAGCCGATGAATGGACCGCTCAACGATCAAAGAAACAACTACAAAGACAGTCAAAACTGTAGCAACGGACCAAGTTGGTGTTAAACCCAAAGTTCTCTCGGTTCGTTCTGCTTCATAATCATTTTCTTCTCTCATTGCTGCTCTTTTCTTTTGTCTTTAATTTTCCAATTGGATTTTTCCAATATTCTTCTCGTGCAAGAAGTTTAAATTGGAAAATTCAGATAGATCACAATCCTGTATTTAAAATAATTAAATCCTGTAGAAGAGTTAAAACTTAACGGAAAATATGTAAACTAAAGAAGGAAATAATAAAAACTTCGATAACTTACTTACGAGAACATAAGAGTGAGCGAGTCTTGTTTGCAAAGAAGAAAATTGAAGAGAGTGGTGGAGAAACGGGGAGGCTTTTTAAAAGGTACATTTTATTAGTTAAGGCTAATGCAAAAATGTGCATTAAAATTGCTTTTAGTAACTGTATAATTTCGTTCATCTCTCGAAAAGATTATAGCGAGATTAAATTAGCTAAGCCAATAATGAAGATTTGGTTAGATTAATTAAAAACAAAGTGTGGATTGACAGCACAGTTATAGGATCTTGAGGAATATAATTGGACACTACCCAAACTCAATAAATGCATGTGTGGATCTTGATTCCCGCCATTCCCACATTTTTAAAGGAAAGACAGAACAACTTTTATTAATAAATGAGTACTAACGAATGATTAAAAAAAAAACTATTAGTAATCATCTTTATTTCGAATGCAGCTTCACATGACAGATTTGGAGAAGCTTAGTCCGAAACCTCTTTACTTGATAAGTATACAACTCGGTTCGATCACATTGTGGAAACATTGGTGCTCGACACACAGGATAAAACCAAGCAG